TGTTTTTTTGAATAATTATGTTGTATAGAAACTATTTTATAATGTAAAATTTAGAACACAACTTCAAATAAAAATATAGTGTAATGATTTATAATCAACAATTATTGAGAATACTTTATAATATTGGATAAATCCAATAGGTGCCAGTTTTCAGATAGCTGCTGATATTTATAGTAAGTGAATGTTATTCTAATTGTTTTTAAATAATATTTAATATTTATGTTAACATATTTTCGCCACTTTCATTATCACTATTTTACCAATCCTCCTTATCATTTTTATCCTCATTATTATCATCATCATTTCCATACTCACTATTATCATTTTTATCTTCTACTTCATTCTCCTCCTTTTCATTTCTGTTCCCATCATTACTCCTATCCCCATCATTACTCTCATCCTCATTTTCCTCTTCTCACTCATTCTTCTCTTCTCCTTCATTCTCTCCTTCTTTATTTCTACTATTTTCCTCTCCTTTGTTCTCTTCGTCCTTTTCATCCTCATTTTCTTCATCTGTATCGTCTACTTCCTTATCAAAATATCCCATATTCTTCATACACTCCAACATATTCTCCTAAAGATTATCTTTGTTCTGCCATCGCCATATGAATTCAAATAAATGGTCTGGAATGTGAGACTTTGTATGACTTCTTGATGGAACCTAATCAAAAAAAAAAACAATTAAGTAATTGGACCAACTTTTATTACCTAGTAAAAACAAAATAACATCCAAGAGTATTATTTCGAATTATGGCCTGTATTAAACTTAATACAGTCCATAATTTGAAATAATACTCTTGGATGTGATTTGGCATCTATAAGTAATTAGTTGCAATTAGTTGATATACATTTTAATTAATTTATAAATATAATAATTTTAATTAATTGAATTCAAAAATTACTTAATGGTTGATTTAAAAAATTTTAAATTGAATGTTTTTTGGTTAATATTACTAGCCTGAATTTAATATCATTCCAGGTTACTTCAATTGTATTCGTATGAGTACCCATAGTGGGGTCGACAATATTTGCACTGTGATTTACAGTTTGGTATCTAATCCCTAAATCAGAACCTATTCTTGTGTAAGCATGCCACAGATCTAAATAGATAATAGAGTTGGCATATATGTTTTCTTCAATTAGAGAGAGTAGGTCTCGGCAGTTCTGTCATCAATAGCCTTTGCAAACAATCTTCTCTCCTGGGTTCTCTCTACACCACCAAAGACTCAAACTCCCTCCACACAATGGCCATGATTGTATTTCTATTTGCCAAACTTTGACTTATCTATTTCTATTACAATATTCAGGCCCCAATCTTACTCTGTGTTTCTTGAATATTAAATCCAACAAGAGATATATAATTACAGTCATACTTGGGTTATATCTCCATTGGGTTAAATCCCAACTTGAATTATATCACCACTTTTTGATAGAATAAA